TCCCCCCATAATCCATCCAGAGTGGCAGGCATCTGAACAGGCACCTGTTGTCTCGTTACGAGATGCACAGTGACAGGAGTAGCTACAGGAGTCTCCAAACATTCCTGGTGGGCAGGAACCTAGGATTAGATCAAAAGATATTCAGCACTACAACCTGCTCTGATGTGCGGAACCCTAAGAAGCGGTACAGAGAGATGAGATTCAAGAATTACAAGACAAGCTACATGTGTTTCAGACTGACTTAGTGGGCAGAAGGAACCTATGGAGAGATATAGAGAGATACGATTAACAAGACAAGGCAGCTACAGGAGCCGACACGTGTCTGGTTGGGAGGCAGCAGTCCCTGTGGATAACAGTGATGGGATCAGCCACGGGAGTCTTCAAAGTGTCCTTGCGGACAGGAGCCAGGATAAAGCCACGGATAGAGATTTACCCTGAGAGGAATAACAGCATGTGTCTATACACTACTCAGGTGAGTAGGAGCCAGAGGAGAGACAAAGAGTAAGACGTTACAGTGATACAAACAGGCTCTCCAAACTGATATTCTTTAAATACGTTTATTTAGAATTAATAGAAGGATTCGACATTTTATGATTATCCCGAGTTCATATTTCGGAGGTTAACGTGAAAGTGTACCATCTTTCAACAATCATAATATATGTATAATTTGCAAACTCTTGATCAACCGACCTGAGGTCGGTCTAACAGTTGGGCACGTTCTGGGTGTCGTACTGAGCATTCTCCGCCCTAGGTCCTATAGTTACCATAGACTTACAGCCGTCCCAGCGATAAGGGTTTATTTGTAAAACACCTGCTTAATTCAATTATTCTGTAAGATATGCTATTTTAAGGATTACACTTTCTCATTGTGTATTCATATTCCGCCCTGACCTATACGTCCGAATGACCCTCCTGATTATGTGCAATGGAGCTCTATAGAATATTGATTCATAGTTACCAATATAGATTTGACGTCTTTGTGCTCATTCAGGGTTAAATCATAGTATCAGTTTTTATGCTTATTGTCAATGGGCAAAAGTAAAAATCGAGCAATGTAAAGGCTATAATGGCATCGAAGCATGAAGCAAACATGTGATACACCCGTCAAATTATTCAATAAATGCTACACAATGGCCATGCATAAGAGGCGTCCTACAGCAGTCAGTAATCCTATGCTGCGGTCCCATTTCTACCAGAATGTGTTGATCGCTGGATTTACATCCAGGTCCAGGAATTGCATGGTTTTCTGGTTCACCCAAAAGCTATGGCATTGTGTCACTCCAGGTTTATCTCCGACACTCTACTGATACGACATAACAGAAACTCGTGTTCCTCTTATGCGTACAGAATACAACGTAAAGACTCAAAAACGTATTAGTTCAAATTGTAAAAAAACGGTGGAGCTAAACAAAGCTAACAATGCACCGAACGAGAGGCTCATTTGTCATTTCATTTTTCATCAAACACTCAAATGTTTTGCATTAACTCATAACAAGTTGGGTCAGTGGCATTATTCGTGTCCTTGCTACACCTATTATATGGTCGGAGACCTAACATTGACCTAAGCCAACAGGAAAACAGATAAAATCAATATAAGGATATAAATTAAGGACACTCACCCGATGTCAGCTGTATCAGTCCCGCGAGGACTGCAACACCAAAGATCCTAACGCCAGCCATGTTGAACAGCAAGGATCGTGTTTACAGATTGTGTTAATCACAAAGTCATGCTCACTGCACATTAACTATATAAATGTATGACTCGTGTGTACAGCCTTTGAACGACAAGGAAGATATATGCACAGGACGCATTATTGGCACCTTTATGTTCAATACACTTCAACTTTCTGAATGTACAGTGTGTTTAGCGTTTGAACAACTAGGAAGTTACAATGAATGTTATTGTCGTTACAATAACTGTGAATAATATTGAATGGGCTCTGTGCGTGCTTAAAGCTGACACATTGTCTATTTCAATTTGCATGTACGAAACAGTATTCTACACAAGTCATATCAAATCAAACCAAAAGCCACTTGTCAATGGAATGTTAAAGACAATATGTTATCACATTTGCTATTCATATTTCTGAAGTAAACGTCAAAGAATTACAAACCTTGAATATCGAATACATGAGAATATACCGGGCGAGAAAATGAAAATAATCAGGAACATTTTAATAAATAAAATAGGAATCACTCCTGTAGTAATGTATATATTAAATTAAGCCCGCCCTGCTCCACTTGTTTGTCACTGATCATTATTTCACATTAAACAGAAGAGCAATACATTTGTAAACTGAACAGGGGTTTAACATATCTACGTTTAATATCACCGACATTGTAGGTTAAAACCTATTTCAATGGTTTGTTCGTTCAACTCACTGATCATAGTCAATTGATACTCTTACTCTGATTTCTTTTGTTAACAACCATCATTTTTAACATGATATTTTTCCAGAGGCAACTTCCCTGTTATCTCCACGCTTGGCTGGAGTACAATGGTCTTGTGTGTTTGTCATTTGTATGAGGAATACAGTATCACTGTCGAGTTTGTTATCGTACGAACTAATGTCACTGGCATTGTTTGGAGGTCACCACATTTACCAAGGAAGCCTACCTCGTACGAAGTTATCCATGCTTGGGTGCATATTGTTAGACATTTAACTGTTACGTCACCTTTGTGCCCGTCTTCTCAGTAAATTCATAGCCGTTATACCTCTGGCCTAAGTTTGTGGTGGTTATGGAACGATCAATGCTTTCAAATGTTACATCAGCCCTGTCGGGTGTTCAGTGAAATGGTTATTTTTTCCGGCTTGAACATTACTAAGTTCAATAACATTTAATACCTCAAGTAAGAATGGATGATTATAAGATTTTATAAGTATATGATTTATATTGTGTGTGGACAACAGAATGTGTCTGACAAAATAAATTGCTGGAGATGTTCGGAAAGACCCAAGACAAAGAATGAGATGTGGTGGACAGAATCAATAAGTTTAAGGTTGCTTTTTACATTATACACATCATCAAGCATTTGAAACAACAGACTTTCATTCCATACAAATTGTCAGATAACATTTCTTGTTATTTTAAGGTAGTTTCATTGATGTTATTTTCGAAAAGCTATTCTAAAACGTTGAAATGAATATAAGATGGTGTCAGTACCATTCTTGCCATACGTAAAATACTTCTGCCAACCAGTCTTGCATATGAAGCCTAGACATGGGCAGCGCCATAGTTACTCATCATAAATATGTTAGCTTCTGTAGTTGAAACATTACATTCAGCAGCTTTTGGTTGTTAACATTTACATGTGTTTCGTTATTAATTTAGAGTTTCATAATATCTGCTTCTTTCAATATTTCAATATTCGCTGTTCTTCATCAAGACGTCTATTCACGTTTAAAGCTGATATTTTCCTAATATGAATAGGGAGACAATTTTGAAAAATATCGTGTTACAAAATATTACACAGTATATCCGAGACGCTATGTGGATAATGTACTATTTGGAAACGATTTATTCACAATGGTATGACAATGCTTGATAAACTACCTGGCGTTTGTAATGATAGCTTAATTTTCCTTCACCTTTTCTGAAATACAAAGAAAAAGACCCACATTGTCAGGAGAAAAGGTTGTCCAGGCATTGAACAACTTGTCGAGAGCCTGGTTTTCACGGCCTTATGGTCTTGCCCGGCCATCCAGACACCGCCTTCTTCATGATATATAGATATGCAGCATTATATATATCCATGTCATAATTATGTCTGTTAGTATGATTCTTTTGAGACCGCGGACGCACCATACATTGATGGTCGGAAGCCATCAGCAGTCCCACCTGTTAACTGGTCAACTTCATGAAGAAAACGAATGAATAGCTGGAAATTCCATTTGACGTTATAAAAAAACACAGTAATCTGACGTTTTATCTTTATTTACAATTTGGCTGTCACAACGAACACAGATGTCGAAACAATGTAACTATTTTGACTTGAGCATAGTTTCAATGCTTTACTGTCAAATCTGAAATCGATATGAGAAACTGAATTGCAATACTTACAGGCAAGTACAAATCTGTATCTTGCTCTTTTAATGTCCTTGTCGACGGGATTGATCTACTCTGATTTATGTGTTATCGATGAAATATATTGTTATAGTCACTTTTCGGCTGAAATATTGCCGAGGTGACTATAAATTCTAATTCACTGTCTTACTACTGAGCCATATTATGACCAAAACAAGTTCTATATACATGGTAAATACATATAAATTATAAAAACGTGCAGAGAAAGGACAGTAAAACAACTAGAATATCACTGAACAAGAATTGAAACCAAGCATGTAACTCTAGAAGTGGATTTCTAAACAGAGCAATACAATATAAAAACGGGCTGTAGGTCGCCAGAAACTGAAGGTAGATCACTATACTAGGGACCATAGCGGCTGATAATACTTTTGCACCCGTGAAGATCCAGGTTAGAATTGGTCTCCAGCAACCAATGCTTGTCGTAAGAGGCGACTAACGGGATCGGGTGGTCAGGCTCGCTGACTTGATAGACACGTGTCATCGTATCCCCCATGTAACTGGAAGGCGGCGTCAAACAACGAACAATATGGACCCTACCTGGATGTCACATACGCTAAGCTTCCAATGTATGTAGATAAATAAGACGACAAACAATTGAAAAAAATCACAAGTCAGCTGGAGGCGGATATCAAGAAATCAAAAATACTTATATTTACAAAGTACTGGTGTCTGAAATGTAAAAAACATATACTGCTACTCTAAGCGACGGAGATAATTACATGCACATTAACATTACATATAATATAAACATTTATAACATAGTGGGACTTGTAAATGATTACATAATCCATCAAGGACCACTGTTACAAGATGTCATAACATAAAGAATGCAACAATTCATTTGCTTGATAAAATGTTTTGTGTCGGGTGTTTTATGTCCGTAAAGGTTTTCCTTGTCCTATACTATTTCCTTGTATGTTAACACTGTTAATTGCTCTAGATTAGCATTGGGCAAGATGGACATAGATCTCCCGTGGGCTAAACGTGGACAGATATACCAAGACTGCTTTGTTGTAGAGCTTGTCGGTAGCCGATACGCCTTTTCCCAAAGAAAAATCATCATACAAATACGTGAATGCACGTACAAATAACAGTATAATTTGCTAAAGGAATCATAATACCTTTTGAAATGTTGTGACATTATCATATTACATTCTGTCTCGTAAATTGTTTGAATGATAAATGAATGTTAGACAATGTAGTTAGTCGTTCTAAGATATTTTGGGGGTTTTATGTGTGGAAACTTTCATGAAAGTTTAATAACTTATACAATTTTGTAAATGTTTCATCGGGTACATCATCCAATGAATATACATAACGATTTCATCATCGAAAAGACTTGTACAGGTTTACCTGCTAGTCTCTGTCATTGTCATAAATATTTTACTGACATTGTATTGCATGCATGTTTGGCCTATGGCAAAATCTTGTCTCACGTGCGTTAATCCAAAGAAAATCAGAACTTATATTCCAAGGAACTACCATAAGTGAACAATGCTTTACAAGTTAGCATAGAGTTCAGGCGATTCTAATCGTCTTTGAGCAAACTCCACACACCGGCGCACATCCTCCTGAAAGTGAAACAAACAGGTCAAGACTATAAACTAAAGGTACATAGTCCGTATTGTGATGTGTGTGACGGTTTCTGAAATTAGGACGGAGACATGTCTCGCAACTACAAACCTAATGTTTTATCATGAAAATGTTGGATCTGAAGTGTCTTTACATTTATTCAACTATTAAAAATCTCTTGCAATATCATATCATGACTGTGTCCTACCTGAGAGAATGGAGGTCCACCGAGAGTTGAGTGTAGACGTCGCATGTTGCTGATGACGTCCACTCTGCTGTCGTCCTGCAGTCTGCTGGCGATGTTCACCAAAAGGACCAAGAACCGTGCCTCGCTCACAGAGCTGCAGAGAAGAATTAAAACCACTCATGTGTGCATTCAAAAGGTAAAACGAAAGTGTTGATAGTGTGGCATGAACAAATTTTGATGTGTAAAACAAGACATTGACAGCACTTAAATGATGAACGCATGCAAATTATAATGTCTGCGTTAAAATTTGAGTGTATTATAACATGACATTATTATCAGATGAAACGACATGAGATGCAGAAGGGTACTGAAATACGTGTAATAACCTCCACAGTGCTAATGATATGACAGTAGTTTCGTAATCCCTTCAATATTATTCGTTGATGTCTCTTCAGATCAGAAAATACTTAGCAACATGCAACTACCAATAAACAATTTTCACTGGTATTGTGTCAGACTGTATACGTTTTATATGGTTTTACGTAGTTCTGTGTTTGTGACATTATGCATGCCTCAACCGTTTGCACAGAATTGCATATGGTGAAGAAACGAACTGTGACGCTATTAGGCAAGTATTTGCTCAGATTTGCTCAAATACTTGTTATGGAAATTTGAAAGCTCTGACCTGAGATATTTTATCTTTCAGATACATGGTAGATGATAGTAATAGTGATTTGTTGAACTTCAGAGACAAAGTACATTTGTACACGTCAATCAGAAAGAAGTAAATAAAGTAGTGTTTTTTTGTTCCAAAAGAGATTTGTTTGGTACAGAAATAGACTGATGTGGACCAAATATTCTTACTGTGAAACGATTGTGCAGGGACCTCGTTCTGGGTCACTCATCCATGTAAGTAAGCTGTCAATCAACAGAGTGACACTTGAATCATGTGTACTTCCGGTCACATGATAGTGTTGAATTGCTGAGGTGACGTCAGCACCCTGAAAAACAGTTTACCTTTATGCAAAAAGCATGAATAAACTGAGAATTACTTTTAGCCATTTTCTAGCACGATAACGTCGAGGGACAAATCATGACCCATATTTGTGGGAAATCGAGTCTTTCAGCCTGACAAGTAAAAAGCTTCTTTGAGAGGCCTTTGGAAGTTGGAGCAGTAAGGAAAGATACCAATAAATGAATAAACAAATTCTATATTACAGTGAGAGTGACGTTATCAAGCTAAATTACCTCCACCCGGGATAACCAGGTCCATTTGTGTGACTAGAAAATGCTTTAACAACTAGGTTACCCCATCAATAGTAAGATGATGTGTTGATAATACGTTTGATGCCGAAAAGGTTCCGAACAAACTTGCTCGGGTTAAACCCTATTTTGAATCTTGAATCTTTTGAATCTTGAATGCTGTGTAAAGAGGAAATACGCTGGGATTCGCATGTTGCTGTTTGTAGTGTTTGTTCGGAATACATCAGAGGGGAACAAATGTCATTCTTATGTTTTGAACATTAGAACACCAGTACTATATTGCGCCCACGCTGTTTGACGTTGGATAATGGTTATGACTGTCAAAAACATCTTGCACTCATTGTATCCTCTTATCAATGAAAGGTAAGATGGAATTTTAAAATAGCACAGAAGTTATCAGCCTTACATTTATTGTGAGATCAATAGAGTTCAGGATAACATCATTAGATATAACTTTAGACGTTTGCAGGCTTGCTGTCAGCCTTGATGTGGAGACAGGACTGTCCATCGACGGGAGCAAGATCTGCAAGCCAAACAGTGTTGACTTAAGTGACTCTTTCCTTTTCAGGATCGTTAATATTTGAGAGTACATTTTGGATCGTAGAATTAATAACTATTGATAGTCGACTTTTTAAGAAAGAAAAATCATCAGAAATAATATAGTGTTTATTTTACAACCACATATTATCTTGATCAACATAGCAATTGCTTTCCGAAATATTTTATAACAATTCCTACTTGGGTTTCTGTAGCCAACGTGATCAAGGTCCGCGAATCGCTGTTATACATCTGATTCCATAGGTCCTCTTTGTCTACTTGGGACGTTATTATGAAGAAGCCGTTCCTTGATGTGTAGGACTGCAGTGAAATGCAATCTATTACACATACATTTATGTTAACTGTGTATATCATCCTGATCCACATAAATACTGTGACCAGGCATTTATCAACGAAGATGAGGGATAGCTACGGTAAACACAATATGTTACGTCAAAAATAATGGTTAAACGTTTAACTCATTTAGTGAGAAGATTAGTAATGTTAAGATGTTCGACCTGATAAGCATATCAGCAACCCAACCTTTAATCTGCCATATTAAGAGGGCCTTTGCGGAAAGTATTACACTTAAGATATTATGTGACAAGCATATCACTAAGTTAACCTTTATTCATCCATATTGAGAAGTACATTGAAGAAAGTATCAAACTTACTGCCACCGTGATGATATGATATTCAGGAAGACCTCCTGAAAATGAACAGCAAGTTTAGTACAGTTTAACTGCAACTGCCTTTTTATTGGAGTGAGTGTTTGTGCAGTTTTAGAATGTGAAACATGAACAGGGCTCCTGCTCGATATAATTATAATAATAATAATAATAATAATAATAATAATACTTTATTGCCCAAGAAGGGACTTTGTCTTGCGTTATGGACGCTGGAATATCAATAAATACGTATATCCATTACACACACATTACAACACAAACAGCATCAGTCACACAATCTGACAAGCTCTCACAGATCACAATCAACAATCAACAATGGTTAAAATGATTTGAAGTGCGTTATAACAAGACAGAGTGTTGTTGTTATCTAAAGATTAAACGAATGTAAAGGGAAAGAATAAAGTTGAACATTAAACCAAAAAAATTAAATACGTATTCAATTGCATTCCACTAAAAGTCATTCTAGGTTACTGATTGAAGGCGAAAATACAAGTTACATGTTCAACAGACATCCCTGCTAAAAGTATACACGAGGATTGTTTTAAATCGCTATCATTCTGCCCAACGGAAGCACAAAACCAACGCGTGGAATATCAGATTGGTTGTTCACCTGCAAACATATGGGAACTCCTGACATAAGCGAAGATGGGAGTTGCACCAGACATTATTTTGCTGCTTATGCGTCAGGTTACTCCAAGTGTCCACCATAAATAGTTATAGCATTGTTGAGGCCTTGATTGTTGTAACTTTGACCAAACAACACTGAACAACACATGAATGACGCAGGTAACATTTGCTGCAATATTTCTCGTCACAAATGGAAAGCTGACTTTTGAAAACCCTTATCCCTTATGGCATACAGTCTTGCGAGGGAGCTTTTGTCACTCTGAATCGTCATGCTTATATCTGACTTGTAAACCGAAAAGTCGACGTTGCATCTGTTATCTCTGGATTGGGTGACGAAACAAATGGCACGTAATTACACTGGCTGCATGTAATATACATACCTTAATTGGTTAACTGACATAACTTAAATTATTTGACCAAATTCATTAATGCTTTACGTAGTCGTGTTCCCATATGGGATAACACATGTGACAAACTGTCGTCCCTGGTTATAATGCCACCCTGGATATAATGTCATGTTTTCTCCTGAAGAAACGGTGACATTATAACCAGGGAATACTGTATGCAGGATTCTTGCTATAGGATAAGTTTGAAGGACTCTATCACATACGTGTTCGCGAACAGATGAGTCTATCCTGCCCTCTCGGAGCACACATCACATGGAAAAGCAGTTTAAATATTCATCTGCACCTTACACAAGTGAAAATTAGAGTTGCACCCGACATACGTTTGTCACTTATCCGTCTGATTTCTCAATAATTAGTTTTAAAGCTTTCCTGAGGCCTTCGTAGTTGTAACCTTAACCGCACAACTTTGAACAACACATGAACGACGCAGTTAAAATCTCTTGAGATCAGAGGTTGTGAAATGTAGAAGGCGAGGACTGCTGGAATATTTCTCAACACAAAGGGGAAAGTTGACTTTGGTTATGCTTTGCAATCGTGCAGGAGCTTATGTCACTTATGTTACTTATATCTGAATTGTAAACGGGACAAGTCGGCGTTGCATGTGGATTTTTCTGGATTATGTGACTAAACAGCTGGCATGTAAACACGGTCCACGTTCTGAATCCTATCTAGGCTTGGCTGTATCATAAGTTAAGCCCACCCAGAAAGTTAAACTAACTGAAGCTCTGAAAACACCGGAACGTCTGTTAAATAATCTCAAGTCTGCCGGCGAGGTGATACTAAACCAGGGAAACGAGCATTACACTTACGTTCGGGTGTATTTTCCAAAGCCTGAAAATGAAGCAAATAACACATTCATACTCTATGAAAACATGTTTTATACCTTCTTATACCAACATAGTTATGGTGGTTGCTTCATCATGGTTACAACTGTAATGTTGTTAGTGTTAGAATAAATAATTCTTTCATATGTCTTAATAGCCTTGATGGACATTCATACCGTTGGGTTTACCTACCTCCAGGTGTTCCTGTACGTTTCTGTTGCCCATAGTAACGGAAGACAGATGACTGGGATCTATCTGTCTGATGGCGTCACCATTCAGTGAGGTGTCCCCCTCTGCCACCGCCATAGCTACAGCCTGATACAGGAACAGGTACTGCTCCTGGTGTTAGACAATTAGAACGTAATATCAGGAGGCCAGAACAGATAACATGTGAACTAGATACTGAGTTAGTTACAATTTAACGTCACCTCAGCAGTATTTCAGCCATATAGTGACGAGAAATATATGACATATACAATAAATATACGCTTTTAAATTATCAGCCAGCAAAGGACTGTAATATGAACTACATAGAGTGTTGGTGGTTTACTCACTTTGGTCTGTATCATGTTCTTCCTTTGGCCTCTCATGTTGGAGACGAAGCTGACGACGTCCACACGGCCTTCTGCCGCTGCCTGATCCACGAGACTCTCTATAGCAATGTACGTCCCTGTCCGACCTATACCAGCACTAGAGAAGAAGAAGAACCAGTACAAACAGCATGTTATTCCTCATTTGCACTAATTCCTCCTTAAAATTCGTTATGTACCATCTGTGTCTACATAAGGAATTATATATCAAATGTATTTCTCTATATATCAAAAGAAACTGCAAATCTATAAAGAGAAAGTTAAAGATACATTGAATTAACGTGGAATTAATTATTCAGTGTCATCTTATCAATATCAGCATATTATCGTTTCCGCCCGAATCTACCCGTGCCCCCATGGCCATCCCAGTAAAACTCTAACCTGCAGTGGACTATGATAGGTTGTGTTTAATGTCTTGTTGTGACCTTGACCCTCCACATAAATTTCTGCAAGGCGGACGTGTCTGGTACACCATGGTCAGGCCAACTTGTGAAGTGAAAGTGGTGAACGTGATGTATCTTTCCTTCCTGGTATTTAGAATTAAATGCATTTTATTTTTGTTGAAAATAACTTTTGTCACAAACTTCAACATATTTATATTTCTTTCAGAAAAGAACATTTATCAAGAAGAATTGTAATTACTGACAAAATGTAATACCGATTTATTGTGAACAGACAGTTTTGTGACTGTGTAGTTTGCAAGTTGAGTTTCTGTCTCCTTGGTAACTGAAATGTCGCCGTAAATGGATGTTCCGTTCTCTGGCCAGTACTGAAGACACTTCATCTGTAAATATTACGAGATGTAATAGATAAAACATGTTATAAAAATATTAACACGAAACACTATAACGGTTGTCTTTTTGTGTGTGAGATTTCTATTTCTGGTATCATTACGGATACGTATGGCTTTGAGTCTCTCGTGTCAACCTTTCTTCTTTTAACAATATAATCCAGCTGCTGCTTAACATTCAATACCTTTGGGAAGGAAACGTATCGAATGTGTGAACGATGTTGTGGAAGATGCTATATACATGTGTATTACCTTCCCCGTCTCTACAAGTCCCGTCACCATGACAATTGTTGTAGATCGCTCCTGATAGATCATTCTCCAGAAATCTACCACTACTTCCGGTCTGTAGGGTCCTTATAAGAACATGAATATGACATGAAACGTCTATAGATCATCCATAGGTATTCGGAAAAAATGTTAACGCTAAAATAGAATCCTACTTTTATGGCAGTGGTCACACAAAAAGTCACCACCTTAATCAGATGATCGTTCTACTTGGTTTTCGTGGGGCGGTGGGGTAGTCTAGTGGTTAAAGCGTTCGATCGTAACGCCGAAGACCCGAGTTCGATTCCCCACATGGGAACAATGAGTGAAGCCAATTTCTGGTGTCCCCCGCCGTGATATTGCTGGAATATTGCTAAAAGCGGCGTAAAATCAAACTCAGTCAGTCAGTCAGTCCATTGGACTGCAATGACAAGATCATGCGTACCAGGAAGCACACTAATTGGTCACTTAAGGACAAAAGGCGTAACTTCAAAGTGCGTTCGGATGCACACAAATTACTGTTGTAATATAACCTAAATACGGAGAGATCCCGAAGTGGGAATACACCTGCAACTCAACATTACGTCATTACTAATAAATGAATGCATTTTGAATGGTCTTTCTTCCTTGTTTATGTATGATATCTACGTTCCTTAGATCACATTTTAGTAACTGTTTGTGTGTGCGAAACCTTAGTTACCTTGTGCTGCTATATAACGCTTTTCTGCTTTATATCCCTGAAAAGAATTTACGAACATATGTATTGATAACATAACTATAAAACGTCACGGCCAAAAAAGCCGTGCATAACAAGACTGTTTGCCAATTTAAGCAATACAACCTGGCAACTAATTTATACAGTGATTCATTGTCTATTAATTGCTGTCTAAATATATTACTGATGTATTGAAAAGGCAAGTCTGTACCAGATACTCCAGTGATACCTTTCATGATCAAAGAGCAACGAAATTGGGAGACGATGACATGCAATCCACAAAGTCTAAAGTCGGACCAGTCGATCAACTCAGTCGTCGTTTACGACAGGCACGTATTACAGGGAGTGTATGTCCTTACTCGAAATATCCAGTATATCAAGCCTTACACACGCTGACTTAACTACTTAACTACAAGGCTCAAAGTCAAAGAGGACAAGTTGTCTTACAAGGACATGCACACTGTCGCTATAAGAGTGAAATGCCCATTGTGCAGTAATGCTCATGTGTTTGTCTGACAATCGTTGCTCAACTCACATCGAGGTAGCTGGCGTTGATGTAGTCTTTGTCTTTGTCTTCACTGACGCCGTGCAGCACCACGCGGTTGTAATCATCTGTGAAAAAGATGCAGTAACGAGAACATGGTCGATTGGGACGTGACATCAGATGATGAAATGTAACTGGATAAAAACCTGGCTGGTCTCAGGTCAAAGCTGAGTTAACGTGACGAATATCATCTGCAAGATGTGCTCACATGGGTAATAGCCTCTGAACCTGTTCTTTCCTTTGTTTTTAGGTTGTTGAGATTCAGCATAGGAGTGTACATAACCATCAGGAAGTCTCTGAAAAAGAAAACATGTAACATACACTGGATATATAACAAAGAATTGTATTATTCTAAAATGATTATTGTCACAGACAATGCATGTGCTCTTATATATCCAAACTGAAACATGTAAGCTAGACGCAAATGGTGTTCTGTGTAATTACAACTGTTATGGTAGGGTTGTTTTGCTCAAGGATGGAGAAAAGAGGGATACGGTATTTGTGTCAGATATAGTGACTGTCTTTCTTGCAGACAAAATTCACCCTTGGGAAAAAAGCCGATGTGAATATAAACCGTAACTCACACATTCACACACACACTAACTCACTGGCTCTCGGACCGGTGCACGCCACTTGAGTTTACCTTAAATTCTTTTTCTGCACTTGCTGGAGTCATTTCTTCCACCCTTGTCTGTAATTCTGACACAGCAATCACGTGAGTCCGTCCATTGTCGTCCAGGTTGTAGTAGTTTCTGTCAGGGGCCTCTGGTGTGTCCTCAACATCTTCAGGCTGGTCAGACACGTCATAGTCCTCTTCCTCCTCCACTTTCTGGAGGTCAAGGTCACCTGTTCCGCCTTCGCCCGTATCCTTGGTTCCAGTCGTAGAAACAGCTGCTTTATCTGAATCGCCTTGATATTTATTCTGCTTACTAACCTTTATTTGTGTAGTTGATGTGTTCTCTGGTTTCTCGTTGTTATCAAATCCGACATTCATGTACATACCGATGTCTTCCGCTACAGGAAACAAAAAGAACATATAATAATTCATAACTGAGATGCCGACATAATATGATATTAGTCTTTATCATGGATGGAAGTAGGTGTGGTATGTACATAAGTTACTGGACCTCTAAAGAAGCAGATCCATGTCGTTGAAAAGGCCCACCATGCATCATTATAGTTATTGAGTATACAACATCGTTTACGTATGCTACAGCCTCTGTATATTACATCAGACAAAAATGGTTTTACACAAGGGGAGCAAACCAGAGCCCCGAATCTACCTTGTGTGGGTTTCACGTTATCAGCAATGACTGGTTCATGTGTTGAGCGTCCATGACTCTTCCCCCGTCTTCTTCTAAATGTAAGGACACACATTGAAATACAGTTTGAATAGGACAAGGACTCGTGATTTTGTAATAAATATGTTATTGATACATTGCCTTAGAAGACATTACAGGGATTTGAATTGGTTTTAAATAGCCGATCCGTTCTGGACAAAACTGACCTGATCATGATGACTGCAAGGACCAGCAGGAGTATCACCACCACGCCGACTACAGCTCCCACTACAGCAGTGATTGGAAAAGAGGCGGCTTCAGGCTGCTGACTTGGGGTATGTGTGGCAACTTTCTCTGGATGTAGAATGGAGAAGATTACAGTCAATGTAAGCATAGATGTGCACACGTCTCTCATCACATAAAACCTGCTTACTGAAATAATCTTTGTCATTTTGGAAGCCTCTGTATCAAAAGCAAATCCATGATGTCACAACAGCATTAAATCTGTCATAAATTGAAAGAAAATTTCCATCTTCATCAGATTACCGTTGTTAGAATTAACATGTGTATGGACAAGTCACTTGGATATTCTTCTTCACAACCGCTGTAGAAACATGAATTCTTTTTATACGTGATGTTATCCTCACACGCTCTACCCTGGCTTTGACAGTCAAACCATTACTCAGATACATGACGATAACATGATTGGGCAGAAATGACACGTGTAGATTGTTCCATTTCATTTACATGATTATTTATTTCCATAAATAGGTCTGCGTGTACGATTTTGTATAAGAAATTGGAAGTGTCCTACATTGCCGTGCACTGACCATTTGTTGAAAGTCTGAAGTGCGACATGAAATGACTAGTTAAACCTGTGTTCCATCCGCTGCTTCTCATCCTTAGCACATTACATGGACTTTACCATTAACCATCGGTCACATCATCATTACCCTGTTGCACCAAAAGTCACAAGCTCTCGTTACTAGCTCCTCTCGTGACTAGCTTATGCGTCTCATCTCCCTGATCATTGTAACCTGCCTGTTGCCTGACATCCCACATTATCATCTTGTTATTACCTGCACAGTCATCCCGTGTCCAGCCTGCTTCACATCCACCATCACAGATCCCTGTAGCGTTACAGGAAGAGTTCTTCACACAGTGTCTGGAGCTACAAGTCATGTTGCACTTGATCCAATAATGTTGGGAATCGCATTCTGGAATAAGATGTTTACAGTCTTATTTCATTTGCAGTTTTTTACGTAACACATACATATGTGTTATTCATCCACAGCAAATACAATTTGGTTAGAATATGGACTGAAACTTAAGTTTCCACTTAGAATCCATTGAGTTTCCGTTCCTTTACATTGAGTGTCCGCAGGAACTTACAATTACCCACTTTCTAAGGGTTTACGCAGAGTATCCACTCCTCATACACCAGGTTTCCACAGGAACTGAAATTTACAAATTACCCAGTTGCCAAGGGTTTCCACAGAATGTAAGTATTGTCCCCCAGTGGACTAGCACCATGCAATGCTTGCCATGTCATCTAAGCTATTAGACTTGATTGTTGCCGCAGGTTTGAGGCAATTTAAATCTTTTTTTGATCGTACAATGAAATAATATGTTTCAGCGTACTGAAAGTAAATGAACACTCTCAACAACACTTTCAATTGTAGAAACGTGATGGAAACATAGGCTTGTTAGTTTCAGTTTTCTAAACAGAGTGGAAACTCCCATTGTCAATTTCTGGATACAGAAACCTAGCGGAAACCTACATTACCCAGTATCCATTAGGTTTCCGCAAGAACGGAAACTAAGCTATTTTTGCTTTCATATCAATTCTTTATCGTCGCATTCATGACTTTATCATAAGGCGACACATACACATATGAGTACATTTAATTTGCATTCTTGATGCCATCATTCATTAGACTTGGTAGTTATCTGTGATATTTTGCAGTCATTCACTGGTTTTGTAAGGACGAGCACTGCACAATATAGGAACGAATGTTAAAGTGCTAGGGCTCCTCTCACGAAGCAACCTTTACTAAGGTTAACCTTAACTCCCATTCTTTAACATTGCACTAAAGTTACCCTAGTAACTTTAGTGCTTTGTGAAAGGAGGCCCAGATCATTTAAACCGAGACACAAAAATCTTAATCATATACCCATGTGCCCAAAGTCTTAGACTGAGTAATGATGGATAAACAGTATATTGGATCTTCTTTCTCCTACACTCGTCATTCAGTCAGGCCAAAAAACGTAACAAATCAATCAAAATCAAGTGTGTGATTCTTCCTTCCTCAACAAATTAATTATCATTAGGTTATTTAGACATTTAAAAGACATTGGAGAATTTCTTTTTTTTGGCATTACTCTTTCTAAAATAGTTTTACACCGCATCCACTTTCTTTTGAGCCTGAATAAGTTTGTGTCTTTCACAGGTGATTCTTCAATGTTTCATGTCCTGTGGCTTCAACCAGGTATACTTATCATCACCCACTCTAGTGACCCTCATTAGTGACACCTGCAGTTTACGGGTCCCCAGACCCGGAAGTAGAAATGTATTCTTTATAGCTCGCGCTTTGCGCGAGCACGCGCCGAAGGCGCATTTGCTGCCTTCGGCAGTAAGTGACGCGCGCAGCGCGTCATATATATAGAGAAGCACGCGAGAGCGGGCTGATCTCCGTTAGGAGACATTTTAGACGAAATTAGAGGTCATTTTCGTGTTCACTGGGAAAAGTTTAATTTAAAACATCGTCTGAAAGACGATAGTTTTAAACACGAATTTTAGTAATGCTCCAAAACATCAATCCAATCGTTAGTAATCAAGGGGAAATCCCGATGACGTTCCTTTTATTTGATTGGTCAATTGTGGACGCACGTGTCGAATGTTCCAAATAAGGTAGTGGGTTACTACGACTGCCACAACTTTAACGCGCACGGTTGGTGAGTTGTATTTTGCTTGTCGCCTGATTTCAATCTTGTTTATTTGACTTGCTAAGCTATGGCTGTAAGGAGAATGGTGTATGATGATTTGTATGAGCTGTGTAGAGATGAGAGAAAGTTGATGGATTGGTTGGAAGCGTTTGGTTTGATTGGAAATTTCAGTGGGAAGTGTGTGAAGTGTGAAAGTGGGAGTATGGGAAAGCGAAAGGATTCGAGTCGGAGTGAGGGTTATGTGTGGCATCCCCCAAAATGAAAGCTCACATGATGTACCCGATGTATTTAATTCAAGTGCGGATTTGTTCTTGTGAGGTAAGTCAATTCAATTGAGGCGCAGATTTGTTCTTGTAATATAAGGTAAGTGAAGCGTTTCGATATTTGTTATCACGCTGTGCTACATCATGTTAACTTACCTGTTTTGTTTATTGTATCGATTAGTATCCAAGGGTAATTGAATGGACCAAAACAGCGATGTTGTTATTCGCTGGAGCAAACAAAAAATGGCGTCAGCGTTAGTGCTCGCTTCGATGTAAATATGGCTTCTGCGCATGTCTGTAGCTAAACTTCCGGGGACCCGTAAAGTGCAGTGTACCCGAAATTACCTGTACAGTCTGCCCGTGTCCACCCTGTCAAACATCCACTGTCACAGGTCCCCGTTGAGTTACAGGAAGAGTTTCCCTCACAGTTTCTGGAGAGGCATACGCCACGACAGTTAGGTCCATAATGTTTGGAATCACATTCTGGAATAAGATGGCAAGAGTTTCCATGTATTTTATATTCACACGAGGTGTACTGTACATATTCTAAAGAAATTGGAACGTGTCTTTGGATAACGTATATTTCATAATCACTCCGTGTTAAGTCCCATTCATTACAGTCAACATCCATCCATCCATCCCTGCATCCAGAATCACATGACCCAGACACATGATCACATGATGAATTTCCCGCACAGTGTCTCTCAGAGCAAATACAAATGCGGTTTGCGCCGTACTTTCCACTGGAACATTCTGAAACAATAAACTGGAGAGTTTATAAGGCGTTTCAAAGATATATGTGCGCTAGTCTTGGTGACACTGTAACAATCTTCCTTTCTGAATAACTGATGTATTTGGTTCCTTCAATGATCGATTAGATCTGTCTCCTTTCTCTGCCTCCCAAGTGATTCATGTGCCTAATAAAACCAATAAAGTGTGAACATTCTTTACCTTGTGTGCAGTCAACCCCTATCCAACCAGGAAGACATCCTGTGTCACATGCCCCAGTGTGACGGTCACATGACGAATTTGTAGCAGAACATTTCCGCCCAGCACATGTTTTGTTGCAGTTAGCGCCATAAGTAGTGTTGCTGCAAACTGTAAAATATGGACAAAAAGTAAAATATTCATCCATAAATAAGGTTGAAAGGCTTTTGATTTGTGAAACATTCTAGGTTATTGCTTTAGCAAAGTGAATGATATGGGTCAGTAGATAATTTTGATGCACAACGTTACATGCACCTGAAAACTTACCCACAGTAAGACCTCCACAACCACGGCCTTTTGTTAAATTTTCATTAATCATGTGATTTAATTCTTAGCAGTGATTTAATGTGGCTTTCAGTGCATCAGGTAAAGTGTTCATAAGAAAGTGAAAATTGCTTTAGAAAATGTTTATTTCACACTCACTTACCAATAGGTCTTTTCCAGTACTCACCTTCTTTTACAATCAGCACCCATCCCTCCAGCTTTACATCCAGAATCACATGACCCAGTCACATGATCACATGATGAATTTCCCGCACAGTTTGTCTCAGAGCAAAGACTAATGCAGTTTGCGCCGTAATTTCCACTGGAACATCCTGTAATAAAGACAACATGAGCTTACAATGTGCTTGATAGTTATATCTACATGCACTGATGTTTTTTCTGTTAACCATGTGTGGCAGGCTTCCTTCTTGAATAACTTCCAAGGTATAACTGATGTATTTCGCCGCCTTTTTTCTCTGCCTGCCATGTAACAGTGTATTCAATTTGTCTAGTTGCACGTTACCTTGTGTGCAGTCAACCCCTATCCAACCAGGAAGACATCCTGTGTCACATGCTCCAGTGTGGCGGTCGCATGACGAATTTGTAGCTGAACATTTCCGCCCAGCACATGTTTTCTTGCAGTAAGTGTCATAAGAAGTGTTGTTGCAAACTGTAAAAAATGGACAAGAAGTAAAATATTCATTCGTAAATATTGTTGAAAGGCAGGCTTCCTTCTTGAATAACTTCCAAGGTATAACTGATGCATTTGAGTCGCTTTCTTTCTCTGTCTGTCATGTAACAGTGTATTCAATTTGTCTAGTTGCACGTTACCTTGTGTGCAGTCAACCCCTATCCAACCAGGAAGACATCCTGTGTCACATGCTCCAGTGTGGCGGTCGCATGACGAATTTGTAGCTGAACATTTCCGCCCAGCACATGTTTTCTTGCAGTAAGTGTCATAAGAAGTGTTGTTGCAAACTGTAAAAAATGGACAAGAAGTAAAATATTCATTCGTAAATATTGTTGAAAGGCAGGCTCCTTCTTGAATAACTTCCAAGGTATAACTGATGCATTTGAGTCGCTTTCTTTCTCTGTCTGTCATGTAACAGTGTATTCAATTTGTCTAGTTGCACGTTACCTTGCTTCATCAAAGCGAATGAAACGAGTCAGTGCGTAAAGTTGATGCACTACTAACATGGAGCCCGCAGTAAGACCTCCAGAACGATCGCCTCTTGTTATTCCTTTGTATTAACAATGCCGGACCTAAGATGACAGTCAACAAGCCATGTAAACGCATCTACAGCCACAGGTACCACTGACTGGGACACACAATACTGGCAGTAAAATTTTCTCACCAGTATCACATCTCTGTCCCTGCCACCCTGGTCTACAGTCTCCAGGACACAATCCAGTCAAGCGATCACAGGTTGAATCCAGGCAGTGACAGAACGTATTACACTTCACTCCGTAGATTCCTGGGCTGCAAGCTGGTGCATTATTAACACAAGATAAGTACATAAAGACAAGCGCATATATCAAGGGTAACTTGTAGGCATAAATGGAATGGAAATTGTGGAAATATGGAATCGATGAATTGCCGACATTATGCAACTTACATGATTTGATCAGTGATTGCTCTGTAGTTCTTTGATTGATAGTTGATAGAAGTGGACAGTATGCAACGAAGTACATGTACATATCGAATTCGACCATTTGTCAAGTATTTTGTGTTATATGCAGACATTGCCTCATAGCCACAGGAAGAAGGGAATCTGAAAATACTATTATTTTCATAAAATAACTGACGCGCTGATGCTGAAGACACAATGTTTAGCCTTACAAATAGTCTAAAATATGTTACTGAACGGGTCTCGCTAAATTGTCATAAAGTGCATCATTCTACAGAACTTTGTTACCATCGAAGCACCAGAACCAGAGTGTGAGTTCCATGACAATTTGACCACTGTCAACGTAGCACCCAAATAGATATAGCATCATGGGGAGAATAAAGTCGTGTCTCTCTGTTTGGTAATGCCAATTTTGACAACATGTTGATTTAGTCAAAGAATATTTCAAGGTGAACAAACGTCAGTTCCAGAGAATATTAACCAGTCTCGATTATCAGACGAAACAGACTCCCAAAGATCAGTGATGACATCAGATATTAGCGAAAAAGGTAAGCATATCCTCCCCTAGAGACAGCATCCATCACTCGAAATGCATCTTTTGTGAAGGATGTGGGATATATTTGAAAATAAACTTGCATACTTGTTCATTATTAACATCTGATGTTTATTTCATATGATATAAACCTGATATAGAATTTTTAACGACAAGACGTTTTACAAAAGATCCTAATACAGAATACAAAATTAGCATTCCCTCGCCAGATACCAGAAGCATTAACTCGTTCCATAAAATATGTAATGCATTATTGCAACTATCTATTGCATTTCATTGGTTAGTTCTTTATGCATTGTTGTTTAGAAACGGTCGCGCTTCAAAGTCTCAGCTATACATAAAAATCCAGCAAATGTACCACCAAATCCCTGTCTCAAAGATTAACCATAATACTTAACACTATCAAGGAAGGACGTGCTCGATATTCACAGAAAGCGTTGAGACAAGCGGCATAAATACCATTTGGATTCCCAAAAACTCAAAGGATTTGCTTACATTTATACAATCTCAGAAACGGAGACAAGTGAGACCGGCTCAACTGTTCCATAGTTAGATTTATGCAGGGTGACAAAAACCTCTCAACAAAGCTGTATGACAAAAGGGATGATTTCATCTTTCCAACAGTCAACTTCCCTTGCATGTCGAGCAATATTCCAGCAGCTTCAGTCTTTAGTGTTTACATTTCACGACGTACAATCGAGAGTGCCAGTTTTATCAGTATTTCAAAGAGCCACTCAGAAGTTGTTTCATCAAGGTTACAACTTTCAAGGCTTTCAAGAAGTTTTATGGTAGACATGTGGAGGACATTTCCAAATTTGAGTGAGTGAGTGAGTGAGTGAGTTAAAATTTAAAGTCACATCGGCAATATTCAGCCATAACGTGACTAAAACTAGTTTTAAATTCATTATATATATAAACAAGTGATTTCTGCAGGTGTATAAGCAATAAATATATAAAGAGTCCAGATATAGCGGGAGACGTAAAACGTAGTCATGGGTGACAGTAAGGTTACGTTTGTGACGTCATCTTGTTTTTGACGTCATAGTTAGAATTGTCACTATTGTCACTAACTGCTTAACGTCATACGCATGATGACGACATAGCTATTACCGTTATGTGTCGCCTATGACGACACTCAGCTTTCATTGTACACCTGCAGAGCCGTTGAACGGTGAAAGATCTTGTGCAGATATAAAGGAGATTTGACAAGAAGAAATATCTGGACTCATATTATATATATATAGTATAAAACCCTGTCGACGAAGGACAGTAAAACAACTAGATTATCACAAAATGAGTTAAAACTAGCTAGTATACATCTTTAAAAGTAGAGAACTATTTTTGGACAATACAATGTAAAACTGAGCTAGTAATCGCCAACAACTGAAGGCACATCACCATACTAGGGACCATGGGGACTTACAGTGCCTTTGCTACCTGCATGGACCCTAGCTGGATTTACACCATCCCTTCAGCCATTGGCGTTTAAGTTTCCAAATATGATGCATCAGCGACAACAATGATGTTGGATGTAGTTCCCTATTTTGACGTGTACCATACTTTCCCGACTTATTTCAGCTGAACAACTGTTTTGATGTTTATGACGGTGCCACCAGTGGGGTAGGATATGATCACCTTTTCGTGAACACCTGGTATCATCGCTATTTCATTGTGATTCATAAAAACATGCTCTGTCATCGTATCGCATGGTGACAGTCACTGGGTTGTCTGGTCCAGACTCGATTTATTTACAAACAACATCCTACAGCTGTAATACTGCTGAAACAAATATATTCTCATGATATAGTCACAACTGTACAATGGACTCTTCTTTCAGCAGAGAGTTCTTATAGATGTGGAAAGGGTTTTGTCGCTTCTATTATACAGAAGTAAGTACACACAGTCAACACTGTCACACTTTCACAATGTAGTTCATAATGCTTCTCAAATACTGTGACAAAACTCTGGTACAAACCTTACAAAGGCTCGGGAAAGACAGTGAAACACACGAATACAATGTAGACAGATACTTGTAAATACCATGAATGTTTTACCATAGATCTCCCCCTCACAAATGTTCAGTGCACTAGCATACCCATCATGTCCTCCTGTCCCCTGGCTTCTGATGGTGACATACCTACCGGGGCAGTTACATGTTAGTTTTATATCTCTAGCTATGTTAAACTAGTTCTTTTACTGTCCTTTGTCGACAGGTTTTAAGGAATAAATGTATTGTTATTAATGTATACCTTGCTTTAGTCACGGTATGGCTGAAATATTGCCGATGTTACTCTAAATCTCAACTCACTCACTCACTCTATTTAAACGTTGACTCATATCGAGTCGAGTGTGCATTGGTTAATCTCGTGGATTTATTATCTCCAAACTAAATAATACTGAATAAGCCCGAAGATGTGGAGAGTTTTCAATGTTTGTTTTGAATCTAGTTTCAGCTGTTTAAAGCGTCATGTTATTGAACACGGTGTAGTACCAGCTTATTGTATTGATAGAGTGGGATCTTCAGCGAGAAAGTAACAATATAAATAATGAAGCATGCATGTATTTTAAATGGAACAAATAGAAACAACCATTTCAAATACCCAGTTATATAAATGAAAATAACCTTTCAACGCTGCCACACTCCCAAGATATGGAATGTATTCTGG